TGCATGATTCCACCTATATGAGGTAGCGAAAGGAGTAAAATGCACAGAAGCAGAAAGTAGAATGGTGGCTACCAGGGCCTGGGAGGAGGGAGAAATGCAGAGTTGCTGTTCGACTGGTATAAAGTGTCCGTCACGAAGATGAAAAGGTTCTAGAGATCTGCTGTACAACGACGGGCTTACAGTTAACAACGCCGTGCTGTATACTTAAAAATTTGTTAAGAGGGTAGATTTTATGTTATGTGCTTTTTATAACAAAAAAAGGAAGTAAATCATCCAGAGAATATTTTTAAATGTTTGAAGGCAGATGGCTAAAAGATGTGCACTTTACTGTTAAGTTAGAGGATAACCATTTTAAGGTCAGAGAACTCTGAAAATCTGATGATCCTCCCCCAGGAGGAATAAATTTACCCCCAATTCCCAACCATAAAGTCCAGCTGAAGCGTCCCATGTTAATTTTTAAAAATATGAATATGCTATGTGATTATGATTCCTAAGTATGAAAAATGCATAGAAAAAAGGCTAGAAAGGTCTTAAATATGACTAGATACAATGCGATTATGAATGACTTTATTCTTTTCTCAAATATAAAAATTATTATTATAATACCACTACAGAGGGAAAAACCATATCTAATACTGCTTGTAACAAACTAATAATTTAGTTTTTTTTTGGAAATTTGTCAAAATGAAATTTATCTTTAGCACCCTGAAGGAGTGAATGTAACATCCTGCAAACCAAAAATGTGTCTCTTCACAGGGAGAGCCTTGCGATGGAGGTGTAGCATACTAAGAGCACATAGCACTAATTAACTTAGGTCTGTGTAAAGTAACGGATCACTGATAGAAACGCGTCCCTCCCACATCAACCTTGTCCAGCTGGGCAAGAGCAGGGCAGGTGAGGAAACACATTTTCCAGGAAAGTGGAAGAAAAATACTCAAGCTAAAAATCCATTAAACGGTATATAGCAATACAACATAACAATACATAGATAAAGATACAGAACAGAGCTGAACTTACCCTTCATTTGTCCAGCATTACATGAGTGAAATTTTCTTGAAAAAAATGGAGGAACTCTCTTTAAACTCAAAACTCCTATTTTAATCACATTAAATGGGAAAGTCCTCTAATGGTTTAAAGATTTGTCTTCTTCAACTGTGTACCCAGTTCTTGAAAATCACCAGCATGATTAAGATCCTAATACCCCTAGTCATTCTCAAAAAGAGGTGAACAGTAAGCACATAATCAATGCACTGTAGTGAGAGACCAGAGGGGGAAGACTGATTCTGGGACAAGGAGAGCACAGGCTTCCTGGTGGTGACTTGTAATGGTGGGGGTGAAGGATGAGGAGGACTGCCTCAGAAGAAGCAAAGAGGGAAGAGGAGAAGAATGTTTCTGGAACAGTAAGTGGACTGTTGGAAGGATCTAGAAAAAAATGAAAAACAAGTTGGGTTAGATCATGAGGGGTCCTGAAGAACTATCCAAGGAGTTGGTACCTTCCATAGGGTTGGAGACACTGCTGCACTTCCTTGGGAGGGGAGTAACACAATTCGATTTGTAGTATGAGCCTATGGGCTGCTTCCTCCTTATAATCTGCTGCACTCTAAAGCTTCAGAAATCCTCATGCTTAGAATCTAACGGCTTCAGAGGCTCTTCTTCAGAACAGAAATCCATGGCTTTTTACTATTGTTATTTATTTATTTATTTATTTTTCAGTACATGGGCCTCTCACTGTTGTGGCCTCTCCTGTCGCTGAGCACAGGCTCCGGACGCGCAGGCTCAGTGGCCATGGCTCACGGGCCCAGCCACTCCGCGGCATGTGGGATCCTCCCAGACCGGGGCACGAACCCGTGTCCTCTGCATCGGCAGGTGGACTCTCAACCACTGCGCCACCAGGGAAGCCCTACTGTTGTTATTTATTTCCCAGTCCTGTGATGTGGTTAGGAGCTATACTCCCTACTCCTCATGTTTGCAGGTAAAGAGAGTTCCTAAGAATAACCCTCCTGGGGTAAATAACTAATATTTATCATTGGATGTTGAAATATTAACTATGCTTACTGGGATACCAGTTGGAACTAAGATGGAAATTTATGGAAGGCAGTTCACAGTTATCATATTTGGTATTTTTTTCTCCTTCCAAGCAGACTATAATTGGGTAAAACAGCGTGTATATACTGAAAATTCCTGTGGTGGGCCACTGACAACTTCCTGTGAAAGAGAAAAAGAAGGCTATGGCAGTGTTTAAGACATGATAATATCCTGAAGAAATCTGAATTGTCTACAGGGAATTGAGTGCCTTGGGAAGGGATGTGGCCGCCATCATTTGAAGGTTCAAGCCTAGGCTGGTCTGCCACCTGGTGGGATCTGGGGGTCAGTGGAGGGAGATGTTTAAGAGCTGGATAACCCAGAATCAGTTCAGGCTCTGTCATTTACTTACTGTGTGACCAAGAGCAGATTACTTGACCTCTCCAAACCTGCAGTGCCCTCATCTATGTAGCAGGGATAATAATATGACACACTTCACAATGTTGTTATGAAAAATAAATGAGATGGCATACGTAGTTCAGTTAGCACTGTGCTTGCCACATAGTAAACATTAATAGAAACCAAAAATAAACATAATTATCATAGTCTCATTATGAGGAGAGATTTAAGCTTAAAATGGGAAGGTGTCCTACATGACATTTAAGATCTCTTCTTACAACAAGAATCTACGTGTTTATATCCTCCACTGATGTTTCATTAGAATTAAGGCTATTCTTTGCCTGAAAAGTCATATACATATATACACACACACACACACATACATGCGCGTGCACGTGTATGTGCATTCGTGGTCATGCAGATGTGTGCACGTATGCACGTGTATGTGCATGTCTGCTAAAGTATTAGCAAGCAGTCCAACAAACAGAACACACATAAAAGATGTTTATAGCAGCCTGCATGTGGTACAGGAGTACCAGAGGTTTGTGATTAATTCTGAACATATGAGGTCAGTGGCTCACAGGGCTTTTTCCCCACAGAAATGTCAATAATGAGGACGATCTGGAAACAAGTTTCCCCCTCAGCACAATCACCAACAAAGCAAAGTGATGGAGAATCAGTTTACTTACATGCCCTATCTTCTCTCAGTTTAATGATTAGAAGGTAAAGTGAAATCAAATTATTTCAACTTTTTCAAATTATTTCCACTTTTAAAACACTTCTATTTTGCAAGTAGAATGCAGTTGACTGAGGTTAAATTCTTCCATGGCAGCTTTAAGCTATTTCTTAGGGCTTTTACTACTCTTCTGGAGGCTCAACCATTTAAGACCATTATCTAGAATTAAACGACAGCTTCAATTAAAATATCTAACCAACAAGTATTGTTCCAGTTTTCTATCTTGTGTCCCAGGATTACAAGGCTCAGGTTGGTATAACTGGAAAAATTAAGATTCAGGTCCCATACCTGAGGAGCTGCCAACAAGCCAAATATTAATAATTTACAAACATACAGTACTCAAGTATTTTCAAAGAACTTCGAACATATTATCTCGCTTGATCTTTATCACAGAAGATAGGTGAGTCTTATATTTTTATCTTCATTTGGAAGATGAGGGAAAACTTTGAGTTCAGAGATGCTAAACCCAAGATCCCATGGCTAATAAATGACAGAGCCAGATTTGGAACCCAAGTTTTTGTCTCAGAATCTAGGACTCTATTGCCCAATACTACTTTTAAAAGAGGCTTATTTATTTTAAGGCTATTTTATGAGCTACAGAGCTCATAAAATAGCTCTGTAGTTAGAGAATGGTATTCAATAAATATTAATTGATGACCTAAGTTTACTGTAATTCAGGACAATATTTTCATGATTAGTTTTACATTTTAATCAAATTTGAATAAACGTTTTTAACTTAGTTGAAAAAATATTAAATAGATATATTTTATACCACCCTATATATAGTACCTAAGTCTACAAATACTATGTTGGTCATTATCCACCAAAACTAGAGTGGCTAAATACATCCTTCTGCAAATATGGCACTGTGCACCACTCTTCAATTTCCTGTTTTGTGAAAAGATGACCGTGACCTGAGTAAAACCTCAGGAATGATATTAGATCACTTATCTTTGTCACTCTGGATATCAACAAATTAAACTAGGCAACCCCATAAATCATCACACAGGCACACATACACGCACCCAACCCCACCCTTTTGCTACAGTACTGCAACAAAACAAGAAGACAGCCTTCCTTTGTCATTTTTCACCAGTGAAAGTCTTCATCAGACATTTTGCCAAGAAAACTGTCTTGTAGTACCTGATGTGAACTGCAGGAGGTTTCCTAGAGGTCAAAATGTGTTTTATAATATCAAGAAACTGAAAATGGCCCTCAGCAACGTGCCTATCACGTAGTAGGTACTCAAACACAGGTAAGTCATGAACACACACTCCTCTTCTGAATAAAAGATTACAGAAATATCCTCTGCAAGACAAATATTTCCTACTATATATATACCTATTAAAATGGCACTCACAAGTCAAGAGAAAACTACTTCTTCATACTTTGAGGTTTTCCTCATTATTTGCTGGCCAATACTGATTAACTATCATTTACTTATGGAGATACAGAATGTCATATTAGTATTTTTTACTTTTATTCACAACAAGGTGCATTTCTCGAGTTGGTTCTAAGTAAGACTATAACTGGCGTGCAATTCCTATCAAATGCATCAACACCCTTGGGATCTCCATATTTTGCCACTTTCAGGCTTCCTGACCTGGCCTGCCTAAGCTAGGTCTATCAATTTACCCTTACTGTATGAAGCCCGAAAATGGGCCCCAAAGCCTCTTGTTTTTTTACTTAAAAACAAGGCTAATAAGCATAGGCTCTACAGGGCCTCAACATTCATTGGTTGCAATTCATTTTTTTATAACTGGTGCATTCGAGACATGACATTGTGGTCACTGAACGCTCTCTGCTATCGTAACGAGTTCCTATGGGGATTCCACAGACTCACTTTTGGCACATGAGGATTGAATTCCACAGCTCTATGAATGGCCTCTACTGCATTCATCTCTGCTGTGCTCAGCCCCCGCCGAGATGCAGCCTCGGGAGAGAATCTGAAAAGCAGAAAGACAAACACCATCCAGTTGGGACCACTGCTTGGGCATTAACCTGGAAAGGCGTCTACACATCAAGGGCCCAGAAAACCACAGCGAGCCAAAGGCATGAGCTCTCCAAACCTCCACTACACAGAACCTCTGAGTGACCCCTCAGACAGAGGCCAACAAAAACCCCAGCAGAAGCAGAAAGCGTGCTTGCATCTAATCGCGGCAGGAATTAAATTCAGCTGTGAAGTCTCTCTGTCTAAATAGCTAATCTAAGTTTTCTAGGAGGTACCTGCTTAGGTCAGGGGAGCGGGTAGGACTGACAAGGGCAGACAGTGTAAGAAAAAGAGAAAACTAGGTTACAGAAGAGCGCACTTGGTTAAAAACAGAACTGGGGAGAATTTTAAAGGAGGCTCCCAACCCAATGTCAGTGCTGCGATGGAGGGTTAAGTCTTGCAGCTTCAGCAGCAGGCGAGCCTGCTTGGGGCTGTTCCGGCAGGGGGAGTGTGCATGCCCAAACTGCGGGCGAGACACCTGCCCAAGTGAATGAAAAAAACCAGACCATGCAATCTCTTTCTCACCTCACACCCAGGGCTAACTCCAGAGCTGTGCTTGGCAGGCAGACACCACAGGGGAAGCTGTGACAACCCTGGCCCTGCCCTCCCAAGCTGGAGTCGCTGTGTAGGGAGAAAAGATGTTGCAGTAGGTACTGGCGATCTACAGGATAAAAAAGAATGAAAGAAAATTACTTCGGTCTTGAAGTGCACACACACTTAACAGCAAACCTGTCTGACACAGCAGAGGCTGTTTTCTTTTCCTGTTATCTGCTTTTCAGTGCTACCGAGGGAGTGTATCGGGGAGTGTAAGCGTTTATGAACTCAAAACCAGTTAAGCCATCTATTTTCTTTCACCTGCCAGTCATCTTGGGGGTTTATGGAAATTCTCTATACCATAGTCACCTGCCTGAACAAAACGGGCAAATGTCCCACTGTGATGGTGACTCAAGGTAAACGGATCCTGGGTGGGGAGTTAGTTTGGAATTGATGAGGTAAGGAAAGGGAGATGACCATCCCCTTTTGCCATATTAATATGTTTGTTATGACTACTACCCCATCCTGGACTGCTGGAGGAAGAGGAATATGCAAAAAAAATGAATCAAAGAAGGCATTTTGTGTAAGTCCCAAGCAGGCCTTTTGGTATCTACTGTCTGGCAAAAAATAAAAATAAAAGTCACCTCAGAGGCATGGAGTTTCATATAAATCCCTCTTTAGGAACCCACACATCATTACAATACCTGGCCATATACATTCCCTCCTTCTAGTAGTGAAAGAAAAGAAAATGCAGGTTTTGGAAAATGCATGCTCATAAGCAGGGATCTCATAGACTAAGAAAAACTTGCAGAGAAAGCCCTCAGAGACAACACATCTCCTTCCGTCCAGACCAGCATCTGTACTGCACAGGCTACTATCCACTTACTTGTCAGAGACAGCTCTTGCTTTGAGCAAGGCCGCTGTGTAGCATATTGTTGCCGACTTTGGTAAGCTTATATCTGTTAGAGAGAAAAAAAAATAGGAACTGTTATAAGTCTGTACAAGCAAAGAGCAATAATTTTTTAATACACTAGCATTTTAATCATGTAAGCCTAAAGAGCATAAATTAAGAATATTTTAACTGTTCCTTATGTATCCAAGTGGTAGGTGAAACTGAGGGTAATTCATACTTTTGTGAATAATTCAAATTTCAAATCCACCACTGTTCAGCAATCATCTTTTATTTAAAATATGGATTTTTCATATGTTGAGTTTATTTAAGCAGAGAATAGCTATAAATACATAAATTTAAATATTACATGAATAGTCTTGATATCAAGAAAGGCAAATAGGACTTCTTTGTTAACTTATAAAATTTCTCAAGAGGCATATGAAATATTAAAGTGAAAAAAATATTATCTGGATTCTTTTTTAAAATATAAGGTTTTTTAGTGATAAATAAATGTATTTAAAAATTATTCTTTAGTGGTCAGATTTAAACCAGATTTCATGAAATTTATATTCAGTTTTTTTGTTAAAATTGGAAAGAGAAATCTTTATGAGGATATATTATGAAATCTTTATAAAACTATACAATTTTTGTTCATTCAAACCCATGATAAAGCCCCTTTCATATGAAGCCTAATTTGTTGCCCAGAAAAACAGTTCCTTTCAGTTTGTATAGAAAATTTCAGATGGAGGGGTGGGAACGGGTACCAGATTCAGATAGAGTTTACAGGCAAATAAAAGCACAGAGTACAACTAAGAGGAGATAAGTGCAAAGAGGGTAGCCCCTCTGGGGGCAGGGGGTAGGACTTGTTTTTAAATTATGATCCTATTTCGCACCAGAGCTGTCTTTCTTTAACACTCAGACTAGGTAAAAATATGCCATTCCCAGGTGCTACAAAATTCACCCGAGGTTAGAAGAACTCTTAACACCTGGAACGCCCTCCAAGTTTCTTTCGGGCTGTTTTCAACTTTAGAAGAATTACATTACGGTAGGGATGAAAAGGAAAGTCCATAACTAGACAAAAGTCAACAGCAGAAGAAAATAATTTCATAAAAGAAAAACAATCTTTCATTCAATAATGAGTATTTACCACCAATTCCAGCATGAGGAATTTCTCTTTGAGGGAAATTTCAATGACATTGATAAAACACAAATAATCAGAGAAAATACCAACATAGAATTGAAAGGGAGAGAGGTCTTTGTAACCCTGATCTCATAAATTATATTCAAACAAAATTTCAGCACCATATGCATACTGTAAAATGGTGTGCTTATGACTAAGAAGGAAAAAAAAATGTCAGACACTCATGGATTTGTCTTGTTGCTTCTCCAACATCTAAACATTTAACCACTTCCCAGTATGTGAAATCAATTCAGGAATCAATTATCTTGTTTGCTAGGGTCCATTACTTCCATTACTGGAAGATAATTTAAAAAATTGCAGATAATACACATTCTACTTAAAAGTTCAGACCTTTTTTTTTTTTTTTAACTTCAGACCTTTCATTTAAAAATTATCCAAACCCTGCTTCCACCCTTCCTGGTGTGATCTGTGTTCCTTCTGCGACAATGTAGCACCTTTCTATGAAGTGGGAACAAAGGATTAGTCCTAGAAAGGAGTTGAAACTGAACATAATGGTCAAAATTATTCGAAGGTGGCAGCACAGATGGAACCTCACATGATAAACTAAAGAAAGCCTGTTGTGAAGGATTTAGCTTCTCAATGAGAACGATCATGTTGTTTTGAAGGTTACCTAAGCAAGCAAATGAACACATTCACCCAGTTGGAAATGCAGAAAGAGATACGATTGATGTGTTCCAGCAGAATATTAGAGATGCCTAATCAAAGGTGATCTTTAATCCCCTCACACCCATAGACAGGACATTCACAACTCTGCAACGTTACAACTACTATGGTACACTTTCCCCATTTAAAAAAGTTTTACCCTTACTCCCTCATTGTATGTAAAGATACTGGTATATGTGCACAGTCATAATGCTTAAAAAAATAAAGAAAAAAATACTTTAATCAATATCAAATGGGAAAAGGAAGAAATATAAATACCCCATTCCCCACCAGTGGCAAGTTCATTCCATTTGTTATCTCTTTAGTATATTATTTTGCTCTCACTATTAAACAAAAATTAAAAACAGCAAACAATTCTTGCATAACTTACTTATATATTTTCAATAGTTTTCTTTTAATTCTTTCAAAGCAATACATCTATTTGGTAATGGTAATTTGTCTCTAAGGAGGGATGAATCATTATAAAGAAACTGATCCTAAATTACCCTTCAGGTAAAGCATCTTGTTCAAATAATGTTTTTTGTGTACAACACTTTTTTTTTTTAATGTGGCAATATAAATCAAATGCTTTAACATTTTGCCTACCCAGCAATTCTACTTCTGAGACTTTATCCTAAGGGAAGTCATCACAACTGTGCATGAAGATTTAGCTTTAAGGATGTTGATCACGACATTGTTTCTAACGGTAGAAAACTGGAAACAGCCCAAATGTCAATCACAGGAGAATGGCTAAGGTGCTGCACATCCACAGGGTGCAATTCGATGCAGTCGTTAAATCATGTGGTGGAAAGTATTTTATGACCTGGGGAAATGTTGCATTGTTGTGTACACATCAATAAGTAAAACAAGTTTACAAAAATTATGATTTCACATATTTTTAAAAAAGCATTTTTATGCACAGAGATAAAAAGGCTGGAACTATATATACCAAATATCAACAGTTTTTATTTCTGGGTGCTGGGATTATAGACAATTTTTTTCTATGTTTACCTTCATTTCCAAAGCTTCCTGCGACGTACACGTAATAAGTGAATTTTTAAAAGATAACGATGCTAAGTGGAAGAATTCTTTCTACAAATTGTCTGCAGCAAGTTCATGGGCAAATATGATACACTGGTGGAGCGAGACACAGACAGCATAAACAGACAAAGGCAGAACTTACACGAAGTGCTGTTAGCCCGCAGATGTAGAAAATTATTTATATACCTTCATGAAAGTTAGTGTATTCCTTTTGTGGTGTGCAGTTGTTAACCGTATTTTAATCTAACAAATGCCTAATATCTAAATCAGAGGCAGGACCTGCATGTTTTGGCTCACTTTTAAGAAAAAACCATATACATTACCTCTAGGAGAAAGCTAATTATTATGGGCTGCTTGCCCCATGAGCCTTTTTCATTTCTTTAGGGAAAAAAAAAAAAGGCTGAGACTTGGTTGTTGTTGCCTATTATAATTATGAAACTTATTATTTTGAAATAATTATGGGGTCATAGGAAGTTGTGAATATAGTACACGGAGTTCTGTGAAGCTTCCTTTAGCGTCCCTCAAATGGTGACAACTCACATAACTGCATTATAACATTAAAAAAACCAAGAAATTGACGTTGGTACAGTACTATTAAGTCAATTACAGACCTTATTCAGTTTTCACCAGTTTTTACATGCATTCCTGTGTGTGTGGTTCTGTGCAATTTTATCCCAAGGCTAGATTCATGTAACCACCACTACCATCAAAATACACAACTTTTCCAAAGGAACTTTCTCACGCTACCCCTTTAGTTGTACCCTCCCCACCCATACCTGTTCCCAGTGACCACTAATCTGTTCTCTATCTCCATAGACTTGTTTGCCTACTATGATTTTATGCTTTTGCCACCAGGGAAATGGATAAAATGGTAAGGGGAACAGGGTGACTAACCGTACTGATGAAAATGGTAGTATCAGAAGTTTTAAGCAGGAAATAACAACAAATAAGCTGCTTTCCAATATTGCTTGTAATTTATTCAGAAATTTTATTTTGAGGAAGAAACTCAAAATCGTTCTAAGACCAATTTTGTATGAGCAGACTCTAACTGTGCAGTGCTTTTCTGTCTTTTGAAAGTGGTGTGTAGCTACCGTTATTGCCAGAAAGTCCCCTTAAGAATTAGAATCCAAGGAGGAAATCAAAGTAAATGAGACATCACACACTCATTGTAGAAACAAGGAATGCTGAATAAATGTTTCTCACTTCGGCAAAGCTGAACTGTTGGCGTTAGTTTAATTTTCCTTCCATTTCTTTCCATCTTGTGTTTCATACAGATCCTTTTATGAAAGAAGAACTTTCTCCAAGCATCTTAGGTGTACAAAATCAAATTGTTGTGAAAGTCTTTCCTTAAAATCTACAATCTTGAATTTCATACAACTGGAATCATAGCGTGTGTACTTTTGTGTCTGGGTTCTCTCTCTCCAAATGATGTTTCTGAGGTTCATCCATGTTGTAGCATGTATCAGTACTTCGTTCCTTTTTATTGCCGAGTCGTATTTCATTGTGTGGATATACAATATGTTTATTCTCTTGCTAAGGGCTATTTGGATTGTTCTCCAGTTTTGGACTACTATGAAGAAAGCTGTTGTGACTATTCTTGTGTACTGTTTGGTTTAAAAAAAACCCTCATTTTTTCTTGGATATGTAACTGGAAATGGAATTGAGTCAGAAGGTAGATGAATGTTTAAACTGGTAGACAGTGCTCCATAGTGGTTGTATGAAGTTTGCAAAGCTAATATATGGCGAGAGAGGTCAGAAAAAGGATGACTTCTGGGTTAGAGGGGCAATTTTCTGAGATGATGGAAAGTTCTATGATTCTGGGCGGTGATCACAGAGGTATATACATAGGTGAAAAGTCATCCCAGTCTACATTGAAGATTTGTGCATGTTACAATATGTAATTTATACCACAATAAAAAAGATGAAAAAAAAAAAGCGCCAAACCTACAATCCTGTGTCACCTGAAGCTGCCTTCTCTTACTTGCCTTTCATCATTCTGGCCCCTCCATTCTCTCTATGCATCCTTATCTAAAAATTACTTCCTAGTTTAATAAACAGAATCCGATTATGTTTCAGGTTGGCCTTTCAAATACTAAGATGGTTAAATTATCTCCTCTAAACCTAATCTTTTCCAGAATAAATACTTCTAGCCCCTCAACTGACACAGTCTTCAGAGCTTCTCA